ATAAAATATTTTCCTATAAATGAGAGGAAATTCGTTCAAGCCANAAAATAAAATATATTAGATCTCACAGTTGGTTGATTCCGAGGTCTCTGTTTCTGACGACCAAGTTACAAAAGTTTTAGCCGCTCATGGCCATAATCAAAACTCAAAAGAGAAAATTGCAGAGAAGACCAGTGAGAGGCATGTGTGTCTCTCAAAAACCCTAATCTGATCTCTTTAACAGAAATCCAGTTCAAGTATTTGAATCCCACTAAATCTCCTAAAAGAAATATTCTAAAATCCTAAAATAACATTAATCTTAATTTGATTCTAATTAAAAATAAGATAAAGTCCTAAAATAAAATAGGAAAGTGGTGATTCTGAGCTGTAACTTGCGTGCCACATGTCCTCAAATCTTCCAATAATAAACTGCCCAATTGATTTGCATGACAAGGCAGAATGCTTCAGGACGTCCAGTGCAGATGCATCAACTTCAAGCTCGATTACAACCTTGATTCAGTGCGTATCTCTCCAAACTCAAAACATGAACGTTGTAGATATATTTCTTATCGTTCCACAGCATTTTGAATCATCTCAATCGGAGCTCGGATGAGAGAGTTATGCCCAGATTACGAAACAACGTCGAAACTATCCGAATTCACTTAATTAGTTCCATTTTGCAATTAACGCCTCCATTTGCATCCTAAATCAAAATAGAATAATAATGAGTACATTTGGGCAACAAATACGTATAAAATACTAAACATTAAGGGGGTAAATATGATATTTTGCATTCTCATCACAATTCGTTTGAGAAGTGGATGGAATATGGCTTGAAGAATAAACTTCTGGTTATTAAAGTTTAAGATTTAACATGATCAATTCTTATGATTATAAATTTATTATTAATGTATTGTTGTAATTAAGCCATGTACTAATGTTTACCCATTAGTTAGATGATCTTTGAAAGATATACATGGTCATGGATGCGAATGCATGATTAATGTTATGAAATGGCATGAAGATGCAATGTAATATATGTTTCAAGATGATGAATGTGAGCAAGAGGTAATGTAAATGGATTGATAATCTATAGATAAATTTGAGGTTAGATGAGAGGAAAGATGAATATATGCTTTAAATGCTAATTAACGCGTAAGTATATCCTCGTATTCTGGTTGAGGAAAGATGAATATATGCTTTAGATGCTAATTAACTCGTAAGCATATCCTCATATTCTGGTTGAGGAAAGATAAATATATGCTTTAGGTGCTAAATAACACGTAAGCACGCTCCCGATGATATGAGCTCTAGATGAATTGGAGGCTAGATGAAAGGAAAGATGAATATATGCTTTAGATGCTAAATAACGCGTAAGCACGCCTCCCGATGATATGAGCTCTAGATGAATTTGAGGCTAGATGAGAGGAAAGATGAATATATGCTTTAGATGCTAAATAACGCGTAAGCACGCCTCCTGATGATATGAGCTCTAGATGAATTTGAGGCTAGATGAGAGGAAAGATGAATATATGCTTTAGATGACGCGTAAGCACGCCTCTTGATGATATGAGCTCTAGATGAATTTGAGGCTAGATGAGAGGAAAGCTGAATATATGCTTTAGATGCTAAATAACGCATAAGCATGCCTCTCGATGATATGAGCTCTAGATGAATTTGAGGCTAGATGATATGAAGTGCTTAAGACACTAAGAAAAGTCCGATCGAATATACGTTAAATGATTCATATGCATTTAGTTGCATTACATGAGTTATGATGTTATTTACATCACGAGATGATTTGTACTCATGTTAGATGATATTTAGATGTTATGTCATGATATGTGATGTATGTGCACTATGTTTACATACTTATTTGTATGTGCACACTTGATGTTTTATATGACCATGGGGAAGATGATGAAAAGTATATGAGTTAGTAAAGAAAAGGAACCATACTTAGATGCAAAAGAGGTGTGGAATGTGAATGAATGTGTTTGAATGAATGTCAAATAACATACTTGGTATTAAATGGATCATTCCTTACTGAGCGATTAACGCTCACCCTTTCTAGTTGAATGTTTTACAGGTAATCCATAAGCGAGGGATGCCGGAGACAGCAAGACTATGCATGAGGGGAGATAATTTATTATCATCTTGATGTTCTATCTTGATGTAAATAATGTAAATGACAACTTTTTTTGAAACACCTTTTTGAAGCTTCCACCATATGAATGAAAATATCATTAATATGTTTTGAATGATTGATGCCCAAATGAGTTTAAGTTTTTATTTTTATTTTTGAAGGTACAAATTTTGATCCTACGGTACATCTTATAATAATGTTTCGGACATTATTATTATTCTTGCACAGGTTTTCGACATAAATTCTCTAGATTCTCATTGAGGGATATTCAGAGGGTACCTGACTGGGGAGGGGTTTTACAGAAAGAATCGAGGTGGTCTCTGGGATCTCCCTTTCCGTCGAACTTATTCTTGAGCGCCTTAAAACCTTAGGAAGCGGTGCCTGGCGGACTTCCTCCGTGAATGGAGAACTTACTATTTCTTCCACCAAATTATTCTGGTGGGCTCTCAGATCGTCGAGCATTCTCTGCACCTGTTCTAAATCCTCATTGTGAGGAGAATTGTAACTATAAGCTCCGTTCAGCCTTACATCGAGTAGATGAGTCTGGAGATCAGTCGCTTGTGAACCGCTCTATCATGCACACTAGTGTGTGAGGTGGAGTCATGCTGGCTAAGGTGGTAGGTGTTACCATGCTCCTCGGTGCGTTGCTCACAATGTTGGTTAAAACTGGAACATCGATTGTTGCCAGATTAGCATGTAGGGTTGACCTCGTGGGCTTGCGAGGTTTGAGCTTGCCTTTGGCAAGGGTTGAAACTGACACACTAGCATTGGACATTTCGTCGATTAGGATGAGAATCCCTCTGGTGACCATTGTCCTCATTTTCGCCATGGGCTGCTTGCTAGTCACCTCTCAGGGTTAACCTGCCATTGGGATTCACGCTCATGAGTGGAAGATACCCTACGATGTCGGGGGTGACGGTCGCTCTTCGCTACCAATGAACTAGATTGGTTGCCAACAAAGTTATTCCACCTTGTGGGTGTAACCTCTGTGAAGCGCGACTAATCGAGGTTGTGGTTGGCCTGTTACTCGTTTCTTAACTCGGCCATATTTTGTTGCACCACCTGTACAACCATCATCCTTATCATCTCCATCAATTGGCCATTCTTGGGATTAGAAGTCCCTGCCCCCTATTGATTTGCGCCTTGTTGCGCTGATGGTACATGTAGTCAGCCTAGAGCAGTAGTCTGATTCACCTCCTAGTGGGTGGCTTCTATATTGTCGTAGTTTTCAGTGGTTGCTTTGGATCTAGTACGAGCCATTGGGAATTTTAGTTGATTGGTTATTCATTGAATTTTTTTTTTTTTTTGTCGAAAATAAAAGAAGTAGGTGAAGGCCCTCTTTCTAGCGCCAAAATATTGATACGAAAATCGCACCAACCTGAGAGAACCGATTGACCTTGACAGAATCGAAAGTAATGTGCGTGATTTAATGAAAATAACAGGTATAATATGCCTAAACAAATTTGCTAACCCCTTTTTCATCGTTTGAGAAGATTTATATACAAGTTTGAGATAAAGGCAAGAGAGAGAATATTGGGATTGCTATCAAATTCAAATTGCAACTCCAATATTTTCGTGATTGAGTACTAAGATTGCGTTGTCATCGGTGTTAGTCTTATCTCTTCCAAAATATTTGATATTTGAGCTTATACCTGGTTTGTCGAACAACTGCCAGAGCTGGTCGCGACTAGCTTGTGTTGGGTCGAGCTATCCCTCTTGACAAGCTTATGTGAATCGAACTAATTCCGGGTTGAACTATATTGTCGTGGGCTTTTGACTTCTCCGAGCTTAATGGAAAAATCACACACAACAATCATGATTGATATCTGATAAATCATAAATCATAATCAATTATCTGATTTAATTACCTGTTAATAAAAGAAGTTTAAAAAATCAGAATTTATTAATGTAATTTATTACTAATTAATAAAAATAAAAATCAAGATTGATACATCACACATCAAGTCTTAGTGAACTATTGAATAAAAATAAAGCAATGTTAATAATGTTTATGACTAATTAATTGATTAGAAAGATTACAGAATGTGTGCAATTTGATATATATATATATATATATATATATATTTTTTTTTTTTTCTAATATAGATTTCTCCTAAAGTGTTCAAAGTTTACATAATTTACTTAGAAGAGAAACTCAATTACCTTAGTTTATGTAATGGTGCAATAATTCAACATCATAATTCATACATCAAGTCTTGTAATATGGAAACTATAAATTATTCAATCTTAACATAATTTACTTGATGAATTAATATTTTCATAGATTGGTTTTATTATTTGACACCCAAATCTTAATGTTTTCATTGATTCAATCTTAAATTTATTCACTTCAATACTTCATCATCTCCATCATGAAACAATAAATTTCCCGCTTTTGTGAAATTAGACTCCATGTCTTTAAGTTTATTTTATTCTATAATTAAAATATACAACAATATATTTAAGATAACAATCACAAATTTTATACAAAATTGATTAAAGATAAATGATTTAAATCATGGGATTTTAATTTTATACAAAATCTATTAAAGATAAAAAAAAAAAGATTTTAATAAATTTGCTATAAACGAGCTGGGCTGCATGGGGCGGGTTGAGGCGAACTAAATCCCCATCCCCACCCTGTCCCAAGATCCTTGCCCATCCTTATGTTGTTACTCGAACAATTCGAGGAATTTCTGCCCCAATCAGGGTGGGGTGGGGCGGGTCCTTTCAAGGCGGGTCAAACGCCAATCTTTTTTAAAAATGTGGATAAAAAGTTGTATTAATTAACCCAATTATAAAAAAATAAAAATCAGATTGTTATTTGTAAAAAATAAAAATAAAAGGTCTTTTAAGTAGTTTCCCAAATATTATGGGATGCCTAAAAATTGAGTACAAAAAGTATTTCATTGAGTGTAAAAACCGGGTTCCAATTACATTGTGTATTTATATAAATTTTAAAATTATAAAGGAAAAGTAATTTATAGGAGTTTTATTTTAATTTAGTTACATATTATATTTCGTGTTGATCGTTGAAGAAAAATTGCAGAAAACAGCCATGGAATTCCCTGCTCTAACTCAAGCTTTAGCTTCGAAATCTTATGAAAAAATTGCCGACATCTGTGACGAACTCATGCTTCAGGTAAAATCTTCCGCTCTGCCTCCATTATTCTTTATTCATGTTTACACAAAACCCTAATATTAGCTTATTCGCTCAATTAGGTTGCCGCCGAGGGCACTAATTTTCAAGACGACTGGTGTTACGCCATCCATCTTCTAGGTCACATTTATGTTAATGATATGTAAGTTTTACTATTTATGTGAAAATTTAAAATCTGTGATGATTGTTTGTGTAATTTGGGAATTTTTTATTTTTTTATATTTAAAAATTGATTGAATTGTAACTTTTTAATGAAAATCATTGTAATAATAAACCCTTAACTAGATCTTACTCTAAATTTAAAATTACAGTAACAGTGCGCGGTTCCTTTGGAAATCAATACCTGCTGGAATCAAAGAGAGCCAGCCGGAAGTTGTTGGGGCGTGGTGTATTGGGCAGAAGCTCTGGACGCGAGACTATGCTGGTGTTTATGAGGCTATTCGTAGCTTTCAGTGGAGTCAAGAAGCGCAAGATCTTGTTAATTCATTCTCAGGTAAGTTTTTTGTTTTAATAAAAATATTTTCTTAACTTAGTGTTTAACTACTTTTATAGTTTTATGGAACATAGTAACAGGAAGATTTTAAAGTTGATTGTTTTAGATTGTGATGGTGAAGGGTGCTTATTGTTAGATGCTTGTTTGATGCATTTGTAAATTGCTTTCTTCGTTGTGAACTAGTCCAATTTTTTTTTTTTTTTTTTTAATCAATTGTTTTGCTGCAGCATTTTCCAGCTTCTGCAAATGTAGGTCAAAAGTTGTTATATTTGTTCATCATTGACGCAAGCATATTTGTGTGGGTTATCGTCTATTTTTTTTTTCATCTGCAGTCCTTTTTGGGTGATTACTATGTCTTTACACTCTAGGTTTATGGTTCCAAAATGGAATCGCTTGAAGTGAAACAAGGTACTTTATCATTGAAGTTTTTCTTATCTCAGCTACTGTTGGGGTTGGTTGCATTGGGTAGCACTATATGCAAATAGATAGAATAAGCTATTAAACATTGGCTACAATTCAGGTTCTATATTTTAGTGTTCAGTGCTGGCAACGTTTGAAAACGTGAATTTGATTTGATTCTTAGTTTGAAGTTCAGTTCATCAAACCACATTGACCCAATCCCAGATATTGATCATAGTATCTGATATTTCTTCTTCTTAAATCTCGGAGTACCTTTTCAATTATAAGGGGTTTTCTTCTTCTTTTAAATCTCTAGGTACTTGTTGGATTATAAGGGGTTTGATTTTGATTTGAGGATTATTGAGTTTAGGAAGTTCAATCTTTTGCTTTTTATGTTTTTCCTTAATGTTTCTACTTACTCTCTTACACAAAAATCAAATCCAACATTAAATCTCCAGGTACTTGCCGAATCATAAGTGGTTTGATTTGAGGATTATTGAGTTCAGGAAGCTAAGGGGCTGCTTATGTATCGGACTTATCGTGTTTTTTTTCTTTTCTTTTTTTTTTTTTTTTGCTTCATTGGAGTATGTATTGAATGCGTGCGTTGATAGTTTTTTATTTTTTAAATTCAAAACAAGCAAAGGAGAGAAACTAAAATGGAAAAGAAAAGAGAAACGCCATTTGAATATAATTTGTCATTTTGTTAACGATTAGCAAAATAAGCCATTTGAATCTATCTTATTATGCTAACAACAAAATGACAATATATTCAAATGACTTTCCTCTTTTCTTTTCTATTTTAGTTTTTCTCCTTTGCTTGTGTTCTTCTCTATATTTCTTATATTTCAACAGTACAACCTAACTCAAATATATACACACACTCAACAATTACAAATATACTCTTTACACCATATGTATACGTAGTTTCCAACACTCCCTCTCAAGTTGGAGCATATATATCTATCATGCCCAGCTTGTTACAAATATAGGTTACCCTTTTACCAACTAGAGACTTCATGAGGATGTCAGCTAGTTGTTCCCATGTTCTAACATGATTAGTAGCAATTAACTTTTGTTCAAGTTTCTCTCGTACAAAGTGACAATCCACTTCTATATGCTTAGTCCTCTCGTGAAAGACTGGATTATTTGCTATATGTATGGCTGCTTGGTTGTCACACCACAAGTCCATAGTCCCTGGGTCACCAAACCCAATTTTTCTAAGAAGATGTCTTGTCCATATGAGCTCACACGTAACTTGTGCCATAGCTCGATACTCAGACTTTGCGCTTGACCTAGCTACAACCGGTTGCTTCTTACTTTTCCAAGAAATAAGATTTCCTCCAGCAAAAACACAAAACCCAGTCACAGACCGTCTATCCACAGAGGATCCTGCCCAATCTGCATCTGAAAAACCTTCTACCTTATTATGACCATGATCACTGTAAAGAATCCCACATCCAAGGGCTCCTTTTAGATACTTCAAAATACGGAGGACCGCATTCCAATGAGATGTCCTAGGAGATGACATAAACTGACTCACCACACTCATTGAAAAAGCAATATCTGGATGGGTTACTGTAAGGTAGTTTAACTTTCCAACTATCCGTCTGTACCTCTCTGGATCACCAAACATCTCTCCATCCTCAGCATTCAATCAGACATTAGGAACCATAGGAGTGTCACAAGGCTTAGCCTCACTTAGACCCATTTCGGTCAACACATCTAACACATACTTGCGTTGAGAGAGAAAAATCCCTTTCTTACTCCGAGAAACCTCGACTGTGCCCAAGTCTTTTGTGTGAAATTTGGAAGCCAAAAAGTTTTTCAAACTCTGAATGCCAACATCATCACTGCTAGTGATTACAATGTCATCAACATAAACAACCAAAAGAATGATGCCAGAACTAGATTGCGTATAAAAGACAGAGTGATCATAAGCACTCCTATGTAAACCAAACTGAGTCATCACTTCGCTAAACCTCCCAAACCACGCCCGTGGAGATTGCTTTAAGCCATATAAAGATTTCCTCAGTTTGCATACCTTTCCTGACTCCCCTTGAGCAACAAACCCTGGAGGTTGCTCCATGTAAACCTCTTCAAGAAGATCACCATGTAAAAAGGCATTTTTTTACATCAAGTTGGTGAAGAGGCCAACATTATGAAGCTGCAAGAGAGATAAATAGTCGGATAGAGGTCATTTTAGCCACTGAGGAGAATGTCTCAGAATAATCAATACCATACGCCTGGGCATAACCTTTAGTAATCAACTGAGCTTTCAACTGAGCCACAGTCCCATCGGGATTAGCCTTCACTGTGAAAACCCATTTGCACCCAATAGCCTTTTTATTTTCAAGTAACTCCATTAGAATCATGAGCAATTGCTTCAGACACAAAGTTGGGAACAGACATGAAGTCTAAAGAGGCAATAAAAGACTTGGAAGATGAAGACAAAGAGTGATAGGAAACAAATGAGGAGATAAGATAGGTACAAGACCGCTTACCTTTACGAAGAACAATGGGAAGATCATGATCATGGTCAGAGGAAGGAGGAACCGGATCCGAGGGCGAGGTAGTCGATAGAGGCAGTGGATCAGATGTTGCTGCAGGTGTCTCATGGTGTTGGTAAACCCTGCGAGAGTATAACTGGGTGATAAGAGGACGAGATGGTAGAGGACTATGATGAGTAATGTTGTAAACAAGAAGATCATCGGGGGTTGCTTCAAGAGAAGTAGATGAAGTGGAGGACTCAACATATGGAGTGGTTTCAAAAAAGGAAACATCAGCTGAGATAAGGTATTTACCCAGGATAGGACAAAAACAGCGATAACCCTTCTGATATCGGGAATAACCCAAGAATATGCACTTGAGGGACCTAGGTTCAAATTTGGATACATGAGGTCTAACATCTTGAGCAAAGCACGTGCACCCAAACACTTTAGGAGGAAGAAAGAATAAGGGCTGTGATGGAAAAAAGGATGGAGAACGAGATTTGCTCACCCAAAACAGAAGAAGGCATGTGATTGATCAAGTGACATGTTGTAGAGATAACATCTGCCCAAAATTCTGTAGAGACTTTCATGTGAAAAAGGAGAGTACGAGCGACTTCTAATAAATGACGATTTTTGCGTTTAGCAACTCCATTTTGCTGAGGTGTATAAACACATGATGACTGATGAATAATATCTCTAGTAAATAGAAAGGAGGAGAAAGGGGCGGAAAAGTATTATTTGGCATTATCACTTCTGAGAATTTTAATAGAAGTAAATTGATTTTGTATTTCAGCATAAAATGTACAATATATGGAGAACAATTCAGAACGATTTTTCATAAAGTACAACCAAGTTACACGTGAAAAATCATCCACAAAAATAACAAAATATTGATATCCAAACTTAGACAACACAGGGCAAGGACCCCAAACATTAGAGTGTATAACATCAAAAAGGGTTGTGGCTCTTTTGTTTATCCTAGGGCTATAAGACACTTATGGTGTTTTCCAAACTGACACATCTCACACTCAAGGTGTGACATTGACCCTACACTAGGACACAACCTTTTCAAAATGGAAGGGGAGGATGACCAAGGTGACCATGTAATGTCGGTAGAGATGAATCACTAGTACACGTAATAGGTTGAGAGACAGGAGTGGAGACATCATCGAGCATATACAGGCCACCTGATACACGGTCCTTACCAATAATCCGCCTTGTCCCAAGATCTTGAAATATACAATGAGTAGGAAAAAAGTAAAAACCACAATTGAATGCATTAGTAATTTGACTAATTGATAAAAAATTTAAGGGAAAATGAGGAAGGCATAAGACAGAGGAAAGAGACATAGATTTGTTGAGATGGGCAGTACCACATCCAATAATAGGTGTGCAGTAGACCCGTTGGCTAAGGTAACTGAAGACAAATTGGGAGAAGGTGTAAATGAGGAGAGAATACATGTATCGCCTGTCATATGGTGGGTAGCACCAGAATCAATGACCCAGTTATTACTAGAAGTGGACAAACAAGCTGTAGGATTACCTAACTGGGTTAATGTAGTGGTAGTCGATGGGATGGATAACTGGGAGCAAGAATTCTGAGTGAGACGAGCATATTCTGCTGTAGAGATAGTAACCTGTGATGGGGTGGGTAAGAGACCATCTTGAGTTACAACATGAGCAAACTTCTAAGTGTCTTGCATATTCAGGGGCTTGCCATGGAGCTTCCAACAATTTTTTTTTACGTGACCCTCATTGAAAGCAAGTACGAAGGCCATTACCACAATTGTTACTGGTATCACGACTTGTCCTTTTGTTACCTTTGCCATCACCAGACTTCATGCTAGCTAGGGCCGTATGATCAACATTAGGATTCTTAAGGGTTTCTTTCTCTTTAGACACTCCTCGATCTTCCCCCTTACTAACTCTGAGAAGTCAAGTAAAGACATCCGTAAGAGAGGGAAGTGTCTCACCGATAAGAAGTTGTGTACGAACTATCTCATATTCCAGTCTCAACCAACCAGAAAACATTACACTACCACTTGTTCATCTTGTGCTTGCATCGTCTTCACATCAGTAGGGAAAGGAAACATAGCCTTTTTTTCTTCAAAGGCTTGTTTTATCTCTGTATAATAGAGCAACGTCTT